TTCAAGTTCCCAAAAATCCAACCTGGTAAAGAACAAGAACCAACCATGTACAACAAACGAAAAATGTGGAAGCACGAGAGGCAGCATTGAAACATTTGGGGGAATCAAGAAAAGGGTCATAAGCAACCAATCCATGTAATCAATAAAAATATATGATTTCACATTTGATGGCTAATTAACCTTAAATACATGTCTATTAGCAAGGTAAATGTGTGTGCTGAATGGTGAAGCCATACATCTCCTGAAAGTATTCAACAAACTGATTTCATTGTTGAGTTGTCATTTATAGAAAGCCTGAATAGATTACTACTACAAATCAAAATCTTTCATTTCCTCAAAAAAGGAAAAATACAAGTATGCCTATGAAGATAAACGATTAAATTAGTTCCACAAACTTGGGCCCAGTACTTAGCCATTTACCTTTTAGTGGGTACACTACCCCAGATTTAACGGTAGAGACCTGTTTCAATGCTCATGATTAGACACAAAGTAAGGCACATGGTTAGTCTAACACTACTCTATCAAACCACTGTTGATTCCATCAACACAGAATGTAGACCACCATTTAATCAATGACATTTTTTTTATTCATATAACATAACTCTTGATATCATGAAATAAACAACAACTCATATATCAACTTCAGAAAATTAAAATTCAATCAAGAAAAGAAGTGGTAGAACACACTAAAAATGCAGAGCATTCCCTAAACTTGATTAAACCATATTAAAAAAAAAACCATTAAAAATATAAACTTGATTAAACCATATTTGAAGGCTTAATCCCCTTGGCTTGAGTGAAGTTATGGTTACCCGTTATAATGTCAAGGCACAAAATATAAATTTTAAAGATAGTGATTGTTTAATTTGATAGTTAAAAATAATTGATAATTGTTAATGATTTAAATAATTTAATAATAATTTTTTTTAGTAAAAATAAAAAATTTTGTGAGTTTAAATTGATGATACATGGATGAGTGGGAATTAAAAAATGAGAATAGATTATTTTTTATTATACAACCTAAGATTAAAAAAAAATTCATAAAATAAGTAATAATATTTATTACTCACAATAATTAAAATTAGGCCAATATTTTTAGGACATTATAGGTAATTGTTTTATAAAAAATTATAAATTGATTAAAATATCAGTTAAATCAAATACTCCTGCTAGTTTTTTTTAGTTATTCTAATTCCTCAACTTTATTAAATGAACTTAATAATTTTATATAGTAAATGAATAATAATTGAAAAATAATTTTTATCTTGGTAAAAATATTTAACAAAAATTATATATAAAAAAGAATTTAATTATTAACTATTTATTATATAAAATCATTTGATTAAAATTTATATAAAGATAAATAAATTAAACTAAAATGAGTAAAATTTGTGGGCCTTAATTAACAAAGTAACGTATGTTCCTAACCTCTTCCCCTCGCCCCCTCCAAAAATGATGGAGACCGCCTACCAATCATCTTTCAGCGAAGAAGGAAATTTTGTAACTTAATCCCCTGGGCCCCAACTTGGAGGGGAACCCTGGGAATTAAGCCAATTTTGAATGGTTAAGTTGCACAAAGCCCTTTTATGTGTATAGATTTTGGTAGAAGTCAGAGAGGGGTTTGTGCTAAATAGTAGAAGCGCTGAAATAAGGCAAGCAATATAAGTAAATTCAGTCAGGCAAGTATCGAGTTTAATTCTTGAATTCATTTTCCATTCAAGGAGAAGTTACAATGGCTGGAACCCGTAATAGGAGATTAAGACGCAAGCTCAAGGTACATATATATACAGCTGCATCTATTTTCTCAGCAAATCCCATTTTATTTCTTTATTAATTACTTATTGATATGTATAGTTTCATCTATTTTGTTCAAAGAAGACTCTACGGAGGATGGAAGCCAAAGCAGCTACTACCAAGTTGGAGATGAGCCATGCTAGAGAGGAAATGGCACAAATGGTTGCTTCAATGGAAGATTTAAAGCTCGAGCTTGACCTGATGAAGGCATCACGCCACCAATAATTTGATGACATGCTTCTTGACTCAGAAGCAGTGGACAATCTTATCCAGATTATACTTCAGCTTTAATTAGCTGAAGATACAAAAAGACCAGTTATATATTTTCCTTTGATGTTGTGGCACAAGTCCACGGTTTGGTTTGATTTTCTGAATAAAAGTAGTCTCTTTATGTACCCTTGTCATGTTTGTTGTTTGGCGTTAGCTAGTTTTGGTTCTTCAACATCTTTCTCACTAGAGTCCAGGGTCACAGCTAGAGTCTTTAGGAGTTGGATAAATTTTTGGGTTTTAGTTTTTTACTGGCTTTTTAGGTTGAAATGCAGATTTAGGCCTATTCTATCAGTTAATATATTAGAAATTTGCATTTCTTAATTTTCTTTGAACTTTGATAAGAATTGAGCATGGCTCAGCTCCTTTAAGGAGATCGTATATGTAAACAAGAAGTGGTTTAAGGTGTAGTTTGGATGTTAAAATTACTAAAATGTCTTTAATAAATTAGTATGAAAGCTGAAGAGATGTTTTTCGTAAGGGAATTTGATAAATTCATAGTTTATACTTTATACTGTATTTTTATTATATAGTCTATTTTTATATTCTTATATTCCAAAACAAACAAACAAAAAATAGATAGACCAATGTTTATTACAATTAATCACCTAATTAAAAATATTTTAAAAACTATGGCACATAAAATTCCTGCATTGATTACCAAAATAGTGAAAATCTCCTGTATCATGCAAATATCTTTTTTTTTTTTTTTTGCACATATTATGAATTGGGCTTCAGTTCCGGCCCCGGTCTTATTAAATTGATTTTGTTTTTCTTTCTTTGCACTTTGGCCTCTTGGGCCTGTTGGTAGTACGCCCAAGTTCCTCAGTGATGAGGTGAGTTCTTTTGGGCCTAATGTGATGAGTTAGTTAAAATCCATGATGTAACAAATCCCCAACCCAAAATTCCCGTGTTACAAAAAATATATATGTTTTTCCTTACTAATTTCATTATTTGCATTTCTAGAAATTTACAAAATTTTCAAAATATGATACTTATATTGGAGATAGAAAATGGTATATCCTGATTTATTCGAGTAAAAAATTGGGCCCAACCAAGCGGAATCGTCAAAGTTGACCTAATCAAACATGATAAATTTCTCTGTTTGCAATGATGTCCAGGTCAACTCTACCAGAAACATTGACCCTTGGGATTACTTGTACATTCAGGAAAATGGCATTAATAGAAGGCAAAAGGTGCAGATCACCCCCTCAACTCAACAATTGGTGGCAAATCACCCCCTCAACACACTTCACGCGCAAATCAACCCCTCAACTCACCTGCAGTGGCAAATCAGCCCCTCTCTTAACGCTTTCGTTAACATTTAACAGTTCACCCATCAGCCGTTCCTCTGGGTCTAACGTGGCCTTTTTTTTGCTGAGATGGAGGTGCCACCTGGACAAATACCTCAATCCAACCCCAAAATAAAAGCCCATATAACCTGCTCCATTCTTCAACAGCTTAACAACCTTGTTAACCCTTGTTTTGTTCTCTCCGAGGAGCCCAAGCAGAGGTATGTTTGTTTCCTCAATGGAAGCTAAATCAAGTTTATGCTCTTAAATCAGTGATTTTGATGGGTGTTTTGAGGGGTTTGTTGGTGGGTTTGGGGTTTTGTAAGTGCAGATGAAGAAAGGGGAAATCCAGGGAGAGAAGATGAAGAACTGTGAGCTGTGCGAAGGCGCTGCCGGAATATACTGTGAGTCCGACCAGGCGAGTCTGTGTTGGACTGTGACGGAAAAGTGCATGGCGCGAACTTTCTGGTGGCAAAGCACACGAGGAGTCTTCTCTGCCACTCCTGTCAAAGTTGCTGAATTTGTGTATGAGATTTCTTTGGTTTATGGTGTTTTTGCTCTCTTGTTCTGGGTCTCTTTAGTGGTTTAGATGGTATTTTGAAGTGTCATTACTTGGCTTATGGGTTTAAAGTTGTCTTCTTTTTGTGAATTGAGGCATGAATTATGGAAAAGATGTTAGATTTGCTAATTCTGTGACCTGGGTTGTGCCGTAAATGATTGTTCTTTGGTGTTAGATTTTCTGAGACTTCGTTTTAGATTTTGGGTTGTGGCATTATCGGCTCGGATTTTAGCTTCTTTCTTTTACAAGCACCGTTTTAGATTTTGGCTTGGGTTAACGGTTCGCTCAATTGCCACCAGGGCAGAGTAGAGAGTGAGAAAATGGTTATCATCCACTCCAAGCTTTCGTTCCTAGTGAAATTCGTCCACACCATAAGGAAGACGAGCATGATAATCTTCTGAACTGTATCAGCGACAATGAACCTGTAATTCATTTTGTACGAATTGTTGGTGGAAATAAAGTGGAAAGACAAGAGCGGGACAGCGAATATGGCGACGAAACGGTTGATGCCGGAGCACTGGTCTGGCGAGAAAATCTTCCACCAGCGCACCGACCCGTATG